GTGATTAAAACCGTAATACTGAGAGGAATGCTAGAGAAATCGTTGAAGAGATAGATTGTATGAAAAGACTTTCAAGTACTTAGACGTATTCCATTAAAAACTTCATATAAATATTTATTTTAGCGTAAAGCAATTTGTATTAAATACGGACGGAGTTATTTACACAAATAAAAATGTAGTTTTTATCCATGGAAGAGATTATAAAATTTTTAACATTTACTGTATTCAAGTCTCTAAAATATATTTATTTAATTTGACACCATAACAAATAGGTTTATGTTTAAGGAATTCTACAGACTGAAGTTAGATCAGCGAATTGTTTTGTTAGGTTATCGATCAATAAAATGATTACGTATAGTTTCTTCTTATATGATAAACTTAAAACTACGACGGTTCTTACGATCGATACGACGTTAAGTCTGCGGGCGCCTTTATTAAAACAAAATTGTTATAAATGGTACATTATGCAAAGTTCACGGCTCTCTTAATTTATAGTCGATACGCGTACCGCATTCAAGATGTCCAACTAGCAAGCAGCAGCTTATATACAAACAAACGACGAAACTTTCAAAGTTAATTAATTTATAACATATTGCATTCTCGAATTTACTGTTCAAACATATTACTAGAGAAGTTAATTTCGAGAAGTATATACACTATTAGAAATAATAGTTTTAATAAGATTAATTATACGCACATATAATTTAATTCTAGGCCTTGAAATCCTGACTAAGGTTTTCATAAGTAACAATCAGAGTATAATAATGAATTGTACGAAAATATTTGTATTTGAATTAAAATGTAGGATAACTACATAAAAGCGTTTAAAGCGTACATATCGCGGGATTAAGCCATGAATATTTATATAAATAATTAATTTAAGTATCAAGTAATAGGACTGTTAACGTTTAAATGAAACTAATATTTTTCAGACTTACTACGCGTTTATTGTTTTTGATTGTAAACTACATACTCTCGTCTGCTCGTGATCACGGTTTGCTATAAAGTAGCCGAAACGTCGAGAGTATGTAGTTTATAATCAAAAATAATAATCGCGTAGTACATCCCAAAAATATTAGTTTCATTTAAATAAATACTCGCGAAGATCTTAGATCTCATTATAATGTTAACGTTACTTACGAAAACAGATTTCGTTTAACAAATATATTTTTCATTAAATAAACGTAAATATAATAGAACATAATACATAAATCCAATCATTTCCATTATAAACGCTGACCCGATACCAATAAACGATGCCAGTCACTTCACTACGTGCAGGTGAACAAAAAGTGCAGCAAAGTGATTGCACTCAAAGCTTCCATTGGAAACTCGAGAGTGTCAAGTGTTCCCGCTGGATGCTCCAAGTCCTTTACCGTCTCTTTGTACTGAATTTAATTAATCTTACACACACCTTATCGAGTGTACAAATTTACTAAAGCATTGTATTAACGTCGTAGGAATGGAAACTATTAAGGTTCATTAAAATTATTAATTGAAAATAATTTAAAAATAAAACTAAAAATTGAAAAATAGAAATGTAAATTTTAAAAAAATGAAGATTTTTGTTAGGTATTGTTGTTTGGTATAACTTTAATTTAAAAATGAAAATTGTTATGACTTTATTCTATCAAGAGTAATAGTATTGGTTACATAATTATTTCTTAATTGATATTTATACATCTTTATTTATTAAAACCAATATTATTATATGAACACTATTAAAATGAATACATATTTAGTTATTATATTTTCTATTTATAGTTTTATATACGTAGCGAATCTTATTTATGTTATTTTTGTAATCGGATTGTATACATAGGTTTTCTTAAAGGTTCCGGAAGTCAAAGTGGATTACTAGCTTATTGGTTCAGGGTTATTGTATTTTTAGCTTCTTGTACTATTACTTATATATATGTTAAAATTATCATTACGATGTACGCAATTTGAAATTAATACCCGTACATACGTGTGCTTAAACAGTAAACTCAGATATTTTAAATCATACTTTTATAGAGATTTGATTGTTGTATATTATGTAAGGTTTTGTAAATAAACATGCATAGGTCCAAGACGTACATAATATTGATCTTATCTTTTGAATTTGAGAGCAAGTGAAGTTATAACGTTCGATAATTATATTACGATTTAAACTTCTTACTAGTACTTATTGTAGAAATGAAAGTAGCTGTAAGTAACATTTTCTATGATATATTTATGTATGAATGTAAAATTTCATCCAAGACGCATTATTCATAAGGTCAACGGCGATAAAATCGATTCTTAACCAACATTCAAAACAGCCACAAACCTTTTTGTACACATTTATAACATTCTATACTTTTTACGTCGCACAAGAGGTGCCACCTTAAGAAAAAGATGCCGACATTTTTAAGACGCAAATACTTTTTACAAGGTCATTATTTGTTTTTACTTATTCTTTACTATCTTACGTAACAATGTATTGTAAAAGTCGATATAGTACGTACGTTGGGGTTTATTTGTTGTAACGGTATTTTGACTACAAGAGACTAGTTGAAAGTATATTTTCAAATAGCATTTCGAAATACTAAAATGTATAATAATGTTAGTTTATAAGCAATGTTTACCTTGATATGCTTAGGATAAATTGTAGAAAAGAAAAAAAAAACAAAATATAGGTTAAAAAAACTTACCTCTCTAATCAATCGCAACTCCCGATATTTAATAATATTATGTAATATCAACAAACAATGTCTCCCACAGGAAATATCACACCACAGTATAAAATTGTCTCTATATTAGTAATCTCTGTATCTTGAATGATAGTTTGTGACGCAAGAGATATAAATGGTAAAATAAAATGGACTCCCAATTTGGGGTAAGTGAGTCGAATCGGACGGCGCATGCGCGGAGCGGCCCTGCGTTTAGAAACACCCTCTGCGTAGTTAATACGGGCACGAAAACAAACAATGTCATACAGATATAACAGAACATGAAGTGAAAAAAATAAAAACAAAGCATAAGAATAACATTTGATCTTATATTCCATAGTAAAGAGAACTTTTATTAGCAACGAAATCGTCGTTTCAAAGTTGGTAAACCGGCATTGAAATAATAATAATTTATTATATTTATCTATATAATAAATTGCGCAAGCGACTTTTAATTTTTAAACTTGAAGTAAATAAAAACATAAAATGTTTTAAAAGGACAAAAAGAAATTTTAGATCGAAGTAAAATGATTTTATTATTATTACACTTGTCATTGAACACTTCCTTTGGTTGAACATGTGTCCTTGCTCTCTGTATACCGTAAATCCTTAAAAAGACTTCAATAATTTTATCCCTTCAGTAATTAATCTGAAGTTGATTACTTCCTATTATTATTAAATATCCTTTCAATAAGTAATTTTATCTTAACACTTGAATTTAATACAACAAAGGAAAAGATATAAATTAACTTATCTTCATATTTCTATTGATTTGTAAAATATTCTTTTACTATTATGTTATACTTACAGTAATATAAGAATTAGTGAGTAATTAAATATCAAGATAGAAAGAAAGAAAAATTATGATAAGTTATAAAATTATTAATAAAGGGTACACAGTGATTTAAAAATAAAAAAAATATGTTGAAAAACACAAATAGAGACAACAGTTATATTATATATAAAAGTTAGCATTACTACAACAGTTAGGATCCAGTATTGCTTTTGTTATTCTTGAAAAGAACATGAAATAATGTGTTAAGAACTACCTAAGATTACTTTGAATTTAATAATAAATAAAGTTGTATTATTTGTGGTCTACACAATTCATTTATTAACCTTTCTTGATCATTACTTGTCTTGGACATGTATGAGTTTGTATCAAAGAATTAGTGTGTTTAAATATTTTCTCTTATTAGTTATGGTTATAGGAGAGCTGTTGGTCCGTGTGTCCAAAAAAGATACATTATTGAATATGGAGATTATTTATTTCAAGTAAAAAATAGTAATAAAATAATTCTCATAGAAAACTTAAAACAGCTGATGACTGTATTAATAAAAATATTTAGGATTTTTTTTTAATAACATTATAATAACATACTGGAGAAACGAAAAAAAGTGTACTTTTTACTGTGTGTGATAGTTGTCATAGAAACAATATATACTTAAGCAACTTTATACATATTTAAAATTTTATTCTTGAATAACATACAAAAATTTTTTCGAATGTTTTCTCATATATTATCTAAATCAAATAGATATCTGATACCTTTGCCAAATTCTATTATGTATTCTTTGGATTGTAGTTTTGTTTATTAACTCTGAAAATATATACATACTTCAAACTTGGATATTGCTTAAAAAAATTAAGTGTAGAAATTTATCTGAAATCCTTTAAAATCATTAATTGTCATTCAGAATACTAATATTTTTATTTATATGTAAAGTGAAAGCAAATAATGAGTTGAATTATTAATAATATTTTCCAAAGTATCCGAGGACGGCTAAGGTTAAAAACAAAACAACATAAGAACTATAGGAATAAAATTTGTATTTCACAGTTCAGAAATGTTTAATACATAATGTAGTCTTTAATAAAATATAACTATTCGCTATATCAATGCAATAACACTCAAAAATACACGTTTTAACAACACATAGCCTACGATACATGAATCGCCTACAACACATTATATGGACTAATAACGACTGCGTCTATACTTGTGTACAGAAAACTATATTCTGGTTAGATATTTGTATTCAAAATATACTTCATTTATATAGCTAATAATTTCATTAATTACATATTTCATATTGATTACGCTCCTCTAATACGTATATTGATATTATCAACGCGTATATAAATAATCTGTAATGTCTGTTGGATCAATAAAAACTGCGTTAAATGCAACCTTTATAAATTTGGCTATCTCTAAGTAACTATATGTAATCAACCTCGCGTCTAGCGAAGTCCCTTATATTAATTAATTTAATGGTTATTAAATTTATTTATAATCAGCACCGTATTTATTTGGTCATTCCTTGAGCTCGTCGCTCCCACTCCGCTCTCATTTGTAGTATACCTTTGAACTGTGGTGAAGCGTCCGCTTCTTCCTTCTCTTTCGCACTTTCGCTTTTCTCATTGTTTCCATCCTTTTCTACCGTAACCTCTACTTTCTCTTTCTCAACTTGTCTGAATTCGTTTCTCTGCCAGGGTCTCTTAGTGAGTGTGTCTGCTTTATATCCCATAGCGTCATTTTTCGTGATGTTTTTGATGTCGTCTCTGTCGTTGGATGAATCTGGGAAGGTTCTGTTTCTCAATCTCTTCTCGGGAGTGGAATCTGATACTTCTTTTTTGTATTTATTTATGTCACTTCTGAAGGTAGGTGCGCTATCTCGTTTGGGAGTCACACTATTGATGCTAACGCTTCTTTGATAGTTTCCAAACTGACTAACTCTCGCTGCGATATCCACTAGTTTATTTTCAAACGCTTGTTCTTTTTGTTCCTCATTTTCTTTGTCGCTGTCTCTAGATTTGATGGAAGCGTTGAATTCGTTCTTTAGCGTTTTGGATCTGGATGCGTTTTCGTTTTTGGTCTCGGCTATGTCCTGCGCTATGTGGTCGGCTTCTGAGTCTTTGAGTTTAAGGGATCGTCTCGCGAATACTTTCATGAGTTCTGGTTCATCGTCATGTTTTTTGGAGTCTTTTCCGATAGGTTTTCTTCTATAAACAACCGCTTCTTCTTGTCTGTCTTGTAATTTGTTTTCGTCGCTGTCGATGCTCTGAATCGAACTTTTGCTACCGAAACTCGAATGTGACTTTTGGTCAATGGATATGTTGTCGATCTTTTCGATGCTTCCTTCAGTGCTGACGGAACTGGTTCTTTGTTTGTCTATTTTCTCCTGTGAGTCGACGCTGAGTAATTTCTTTTTGAAGAAATGTTTCGGTGTTATTGGACTTTGTGGTGTTGGTGTGTTCAGAGTTTTGGCAGCGATCACATTTGGTTTCTCCTCAACTTGTATAGCTTCAATGACATCAACCGTTTTCGTTATTTCCTTACACGTTTTTATATTTTGTGGTATTTGCGTCTCAACGGTAGCAAAATTTTCAATAACCGGTTCCTTTTCTGGTTGAGGACTATCAATCTTTTTTGGCGACACGTTAGCTGTTAATACAACATTAGTAATCGGTTTCGCGTCAACCTTGTTCAGTTGTATATTAAGAAACTCCGGTACTCCTGATTTGGTTCCAGTTTTTTGTATTTTCTCATCGCTTTTATTTATCTTAGATATTTCAACAGCCTTTATCACAACTGGGACGTTATCTTTATTTATGTGTGTCACTGAAATAAATCCCTCAGATTCTTGCTTTGAATCTTTTTGTATATTTTTCGTGCTCTGTCCTATAGCACTTTCTACTGAAATGGTCTTCCGTCTTTCCGCAGCAGGTTTTTCTGGGCTACTTTTAACGCTATCTAAAGAACTAGATTTGAGTATTGGAGTTATTATAGGCTTTGGTGAGCTGATGATGTCGTCTATTTTAGCCTCGATCTGTGATATATCGCTGTCGCGTTTGTGAGTATCTATTGTTATTTGAATGCTGTTTGTGAACAGTTTTCTTTCATCGTTCATATCTTGTTTGAGACTGTCTAGGTAACTGCTATCAGTGCTTGGTAGACTATCGTAATTAGTCTCGGAATCACCGGAAAGAATGTTATAGTTCCTGGCCGATATACGTTTAGAATGATCATGTCTTTCACTAACGTTTCTTCTATAATTCACTTCCCAGCTTTCCAATAGCGGTTCAGAGATGCCCACGATAGCTGGTAGACTTGGTAGTTGATTTTCTTGGGAACTGATCGAAGATGATTGGGACGCGTAACGAAAACTGTGAGATTTGCCGATACTGCTTCTAGTTTCAACATATTCGTCGCCCAGTGATCTCAAACCGGATGTGACGTAGGATTCTTCGGTCTTACAAGCGTGATGTATAGTTTCTCGTTTGACTATTTCCTTCTCGTGAAAGTCTGATTCAGTGGAGCGGCTCATATATTTAACGTTTTCAGAGCTGTGAGTCTTGCTTTTCGCTGGTGACATGGAAATTGAGATGCTCGGATTGAAATACGGTATATTTTTAGGCATACTGCCGCTGTGGAATACGCAATCGTTATTAACGCTCTTTATTCTCATGCCTCTAATGGAATCTTCGTCGGAAACTTCGAATGTAGGAGACAGACTGTCTTCGTCTGTTCTGACAGCGAGTTCGTTGGCGAGAATTGTTTTTGTTGAGAAAGGTTCGATCAATCTTTGTACGGAGGCTGGTCTTTTCGATTTATCGTGATGCAAATTGAAAGATTCCCTCTTATCATCGATCGCCTCTTTGGAAGTAGAACGTTTCTTTTCAATTTTCTCGCAGAACTCGTCTCTTCGGCTGAATCTGTTTTTCATTTCGTAGTTCAACATTTTATCTGTTTCCTCTGCGGCTTTGAGATCTATGTTGTAATCGACTCCTGTGATTTTGGCCGCGCTGTAAACGTCTTTGTACGCGCCCTCGTGTACGTAGGCTCCTTTGTTATCAATTCTCTTGTGCATTTGATTAGCGAATGCTTTCTGCCCGGCTGTTTTATAAGACCTGTCCATGTGTTTATATCCTTGTTCGTAGTAACACCCCGAGTCTACTGGTTTGTATTGGGCAGTAGTTTTCTCAGTTTTCGTTTTCTTAATATCCTGCTGTCCGTCGCCGTCTGTTTGATCTTTTTTAGATTTCTTTCCGCTTTTCCTCAGAAGCAGTCTGCTGAAGAACGATTCCTCTTTTTTGGAAGATCGAATCACTTCGTTCTCTACTTTCTTTTCTGATTTAGTTTTCTTTTCGAGGCAAGATTCGTCGGCTTGTTTCTTGTCCGAGCGGTGTTTGTTTCTGTCTTCAGTTTGTCGGTTTTCGTTTATTTTCGGTGAACTCTCTCGTATTGGTTGGTCTTGTGTACTTGATTTGCTTCTTTTGATGGATGATCTCGGTGTATTATTTTCTGCGATGCTCAGTTTGACGGGTGATTGGCCAACTAGTTGACTCAGAGCCAGTCCGGGCGGTAGTGATGAAGATTTCAGTTTAGTATCGCTCGGTGTTTCCAGAACCTTCTGTAGTTCCCGGTTCAGCTGTTGCTGTTGGTCTTTAACGATCATATGATGCTTCGCAGTGGTCGACGAAGAGAATGATTCTGAAATAGTAATAGTGAAATATATCATTATACTTCCAAAACTATGATTATTTATTGAAGTTGTACTTCTTTTGACAGCGATATCGTGAAGTTAGTGGCATGTTAATCCCTACTAATATTATAAATGTGAAAGTAACTCTGTCTGTCTGTCTGTTACGCTTTCACGCCTAAGCCACTGAACTGATTTTAATGAAATTTGGTACAGAGATGGAGTTGACCTTGAGAAAGAACATAGGACAGTTTTTATCCCAGACTTTTGAAAGGTTCTCTTGGAAACGCGATATAACCGAAGCTGTGGGCGTAAAGCTAATCGATAACTATGTTCAAGTTGTTATATTCTACTATTTTCATTTTTAGGACACGGTTTCGTTATAGTACGATCAAACAGTGTGAATAAATATATATTATTTTTGTGTTTTTATTAAATCAATGTCTCATACGACGGTTATAGTTAAATTGATATATAAAGTGCGATATCACATACCAGTAACGACTTCTGAGGATTTAAGTATGACTTCAGGAGTAGTGCTTCGTGTCATTTCTTCGTTCAGCTCGGGAGTTATCGGCAAGGCTGAGGCAGCGATCTGGAATGAGAATGTATCATATTAATACACTGCAACAAACATTAGATACTCTTCTTATTTGGTTTGACACGAGTAAGAGAAACAAATAAGAAATTTAGATGCTTTATTTATACCCAATATACGAATACAAAAAGTCGAATAAGTGAGTTTTGTATGTACATATATTGTTATAGCGTATTTGTATTGAATATCTCACCGAGTTGTTCTTTTTCCTCCGCGGCAGAGCGTGGTTTCGTCTGGGCCTCACCGCCATCTTGTGTCGAGCGGCCGAGTGCGATAGTGGCGCCACGCCAGACGGTGGCTCGGACGATGCTGGAATTAACATGAATTATTATAACAAAGTTATTACTTATTACTACAGCTTGAAGGTTCCTATAAAAGTGACATTTTATTTTAAATATAAGTTTCTTTAAAATCTTCAAAAACTAATATAGGTTGGAAGCTGGAAATAATGTTTATCTCAAGCCATACGAAAGTATATATAAACAAATATTATTACACCAATAAGTGACTGAGAGTTTTACAAAAAGTTTGTTACTTCATCCTGACAAATCTTTATGTCTATTGTCTGGCTGTAACTGATCCTTTACTTCTTATACTTTATCATTTTTATAGGTAATAGTGCCTAGCCCTTGCCAAGTTAATACAGCTCGAACATAGGCTGGCTCGACCGGGGAAGTACCACCCTCTCACAGAAGATCGGTTTGAAGTAGCCTGTAATGGCTTCGTTTTGTCTGATGAGTGAGAAAGCCGGTTGCCCTTTCCCTGTTCCCACTTTTTCCTACCCCTTTCCACATTTCCTCCACTTCTTCCCAAATCAATGGTGGCAATACATCCGAAAAACTATGTTAAGTCCATAGTCGACGGTACTACCTTAATTAGGTAGATTGTCTGTTCAGTTTCCCCCTTAGCGTAAAAATAAATAAATTCCAATACTAACTGTATACATCAGAGTGTTCGTGTCTCGTCTGCTCCAGCTGATGTCCACTGCTGCTGTCGTCATCCATTTCCGAGGAGCCCACGCTGAGGAGAGACCCATCGCTACACGACGACTGGGATATACCGGCATGATGACGCTAAACATATACATACATACACATATAGTACATATAGTAATGAAGCATTTATAACGAACAAATTGAACGTGCATGAAACTTTAATATAAATCAGTATTCAATGAAAATATACTTCTATAATCTATTTGATATACTATATGATATAGATAGATATACTATATGATATATATAGATGGCTATGTATACGAAATGAAGATTATTATCAAATTATCATCATCAGCCTATCAGAGCCCACTTGCTGAGTAAAGGCCTCTTCTCACATGGAGAATTCAGGTATATATATAGATTATTTAAATTATTCGTATAGGGTCAGAATTTTGTTAAAATTAATATGTAGGCGTAATAATTATGTATTTCCTTACAACCTTAATGTTAGCGCTGATGTGTCTCCTCCTTGGCGGTCGTCGGACCACATCACTATTACTGGTCACGTATAGCATCATATCGATAGTTTTTTATTTATCGATGTAATTACAATGTCACTGTCACATCACTATCCTAGAGATTTCACTATTCTAACTATATCATAAACATTAATCACTGAACCTGTAAAGTTTATTTCGTTATTTATAGGTTTTTAGCTCAAAGATATTAAAACTATAAACGAAACTGTATATAATAATTTTATCGATTGTATAGGTTTACAAAATATCCGTCGATTCGTAACGGACAGTTAAAATTAATGAGTTTAAGAAATACGATAACTTATACGTTAAGCTGAGATTACGAGTACATGACACTTGACGTGGTGTTGCTTTGTTTAAACGACTGAGTAACTGTTATGTTCAGTGAAGTAAAAACTACATATATATATTATAAATGAATTGATTAATTTGTGTGTATTTTTAAAGAATACCAGCATATAAAGGATCTTTACTACGGCACCAGTTTTGTAGAATGAGAAAAAACACGTTCCATTTATAGCTGACAAGTCTTTGAGATAATTGCGAAGTCAGCGAGTGGAGTAACGAATTCATAAATTTACATTCAGAATTTAAAATAACTTAGTACTGAATAAAAATGTTTTAATGAAATTATCGCGAGTATTCATTTAAATGAAACTAATATTATTCGAATTACTACTCGTATTTTATTATTTGAACTAAGTACATACTTCCCGACGTTTCGGTTACTTTTCAGCAACCGTGATCACGGTTACATGTTCCATATAAAAATAATAATAAATACTGCATTGTTTTTAAAGTCTTGTTTTTTATACCGTTAATTACAAAACGTTTGACACACATACGTTTTAAATAAAATCAATCATCCATTCAAACTGTAATCGACACTCGTAATGACGAGTAATGATGAACGATGCGGTCAATGATATGATTGATGATTGTGATACGATGTCATGTCATGTTAATGATGATCATCACATGTTATTAAATTATCATTGGGAACGGTTAAACAGCGATCATGTATATAAAACATTTAATAATATGCTATTATATGTTCAAAGATGTATAACCTATTACGAAATGAGAGTTTTGTTAATAAAAAAATATTGAAATAATTGCGGTTAGAACTTCACTAACACGGTGAATCCCTTGAATGCTAAGAGGTTTCGTCTCTGTCTCATGTCGAAGAAATATATTATATAATAGTCAAAAATCAAATATTCACACATATATATATATTCGCCTTTGGGCGTGGGGTTATACACGTCCATTAACCCGGCTCCTGGGAGACTAGAGTCATCTTCTCTGCGCTCCACTAGAGCAACTCCTGTCTGGCGCGTCCTTGTCGCGGGGGTGGGCATCGCACACTTCAGTAGGCCGAAGGGTGTAGATGGCGAAGTTCAGCAGGGACCCAATTCTGCGGGGTATATCGTAGAGCCCGTGCCCAGGGTTACGGGTGAAGACCTCAACGGTGGAAAGAGCGGAGACAATAGTTGTCGGTACGGTCCAACCAGTGGAGGAGGCAAGCCACAGGGGCGTTGTACCTGGATCCTGATGGAGGGCAGCGGTAGCCATCAGTACTGTAGTGAAGCGTAAGAATCATATATTCGGAATTGGTTCACATACAGATTTCTACGGACACTGAATCTGTAGTACCGCGATGTAGAAAGCAACGGGATACTACTACATTATATTTCCCACGAGAGTTGAATGATGAAATGCAACACAATAAAGTAGTACGTTTGCCTGGCAATCCGCGTAGCAACCGGCGCTATGAGTTTTCCGGGACTCACAGTGTGAAATTGGCTACCGGCCGAGGGAATGTAGGCAACCAGGCATCCCCCGGAAAACATGCGACTGGAAGAAAATCGTTCCAGCTACGAAATACCACTCGTATATATATATTCTCTGTTCGCTTTGAAAATTAGTTAAAATAAACTAAGTTACTGTTAATGACATCTAAGACTTTTCGAGAATTCATTTAAGTGAAACTAATATTTTTCGGATGTACTAAGCCGATTCATAATAACTATCTCAAAAACATCTGCCTGGAATTAGAAAAAAATGCCAACCGCCATGAAACTAAAGATTTATTTAAGAAGATTCGAACCATAACTCGACAATTTAAACCGAAAACCTGGGCCGTTGAGGATGAAAATGGAGTGACCGTAACAGAAATCAAGGACATTCTGGGAGTGTGGAGGAAATATTGCGCGCAACTTTTCAGTGATAGCAGCATAAAAACGTCTACGTGTAACATTAATACACTATCACAGCATGATATGGAGCCAAAAATCCTGAAAAGTGAAGTTCGAGCCGCAATAGATCACTTGAAGAGGAATAAAGCTGCAGGAGTTGATACCATTCCGATAGAAGTTTTCAAAGCAATGGGTGAACATGGAGTTGATATTATGCACGTTATCTGCAACCGTGTCTGGGAGACAGAAAAATGGCCACGAGACTGGGCACATTCCGTGTTCATACCTCTGCACAAGAAAGGATCAACGAAGAAATGTGGCAACTACAGACTAATATCTTTAATTACACACGCCAGCAAAGTTCTTCTTCATGTCATAAATACCAGGTTGCGAGCTTTTCTGAATCCCGAAATAGCTATTGAGCAGGCGGGATTTGTCAAGGGTCGTGGAACAAGGGAGCAGATTTTAATTCTTCGACAAATAATTGAAAAGTCTAGAGAGTTTAACATCCCACTCTACATCTGCTTTGTCGACTTTCGCAAAGCATTCGATACTGTCAAGTGGCACAAATTATGGGACGTACTAGTTCAAATGGGTACTCCCATTCATCTGGGTCGTCTCATACGACGACTTTACGAGGATGGAACTGCGAATGTTCGAATAGACGACGTTGACTCGAAAAGTTTCTGTACACACGCTGGAGTTCGGCAAGGATGCATACTCTCTCCACTCCTTTTCAACATCTACACGGAATGTATTATGCGAATTGTACTGGAGACATGGGACAAGGGCATTTCAGTGGGAGGACAGAGAATATCGAACCTAAGATATGCTGACGATACCACTCTTCTAACACAAACGAAAGAAGATATGGAACACTTGCTGACCTGTCTAGAGACAACAAGCCTCGCATTCGGACTGACGATCAACAGAGACAAGACCAAGATGATGATAGTGGACCGAGCTGAACTGAACCATCCTGACATCTCTATGATCGGCAACTGTGAGGTTGTCCAGTCTTTTGTGTACCTCGGTTCCACTATCACAAACACTGGAGGATGTGAGGATGAGATCCGAAGGAGATGTGCTATCACGAGATCTGCTGTCGATAAGCTTAAAAGAGTCTGGTGCAACCGTAATATCACCAAAGCAACAAAAGTCCGCCTAATGAGAAGCCTAGTCTTCCCGATTTTCCTGTATGGCGCAGAGACGTGGACTGTTCATCTTAAAGACCGACGCAAAATTGATGCACTCGAGATGTGGTGCTGGAGGCGATTATTGCGTATTCCCTGGACAGCGTTTCGTACCAACATCTCAATCCTGGAGGAACTAAAGATCAAGCAGAGATTATCGTCGACTGTACAAACACGAATTCTCAAATATTTCGGGCATGTGGTCCGTAACGAACATTCCATGGAGCGACTCGTTGTGCTGGGGCAAGTCGAGGGCAAAAGATCACGTGGCCGAGCACCTACGCGTTGGGTGGACCTTATCAAAAGTACGACGCAAACCTCGGTAGTCCAGAGTTTCCGAGACGCTGAAGACCGGAATAAGTGGAGGCGCATCGCGGGAGCTGTTTTATCCAAAGAAAGTGCAAGTCATCAACCACGACCACTCTGTCAAGAGTGAACGACTGAGAAGAAGACGCCGATTCACATCTTTTCTGCTCGTGATCACAGTTGTGAAAAATTAACCGAAACGTCGGGAGTATGAAATTTTTTACAAAAAATGAAGCACATGTACTACGTGAAATATTAGGGTCAAAAGTCTAACTGTTGTTTTAATTTTACAATTTTTTTTAAGCCCATGTTACATGTTATATACAACAATATAGAAATAAAAGCAATTTAGGTCATTGAGATTTGAGATGTAATTATAATTAGGACTGACTTACAATTGTAAACAAGAACGGTGTAATCGTGGACAATTGCTTTGTTTACACGATTGCCAATTTCTATTGAAATAGACAATATATATATTGTAATACTACTAAAGTTTACTAGAATAAATAATTGTTAATACCAATTATAATAAGTTTAATTTACAATATATAAGAACAATACAAAATATCTCGTGACGTGTTGAGTGCTCTCAATACAGACACCTGATAATAACTGATAGCAATGATAAGCTCTTTGTTTATAATGTATTATTTAGAAATATAAAAAACTTACATAATTTGTATGGAATATATAGAATGGCCCTAACTGGGTTTGAACCTGCTCCTTTTGATTTTTTTTATCACTGTGTTAATGTTTTTATCTACTGATTCTAAGATCATTAATGGCGTTAAGTATTTATAACCGACTTAATAGAAAGCGTGGTCATGAATTCGATACGTGGATTCACTCGGTGTGATAAAAGCCGTTTTATTTATGTATTACTTTTATTCAACTAT